GGGCCGGAATCCCGGAATTTGACCTCATGAATTCCCAAGCAAATCCGGGTCAAATCCCAACGGGATTTGAGGATTTGACCCGAAAATAATAATTGGTGACAAAAGCGCTTGAACGACACGTGCGGTGAATTGGTAAAGTTTCTTCCACTTTAACATTGCCCATGTTATCTACAGGTTCACCAAGAACGTTAAAAATGCGCCCAAAACAATAAGCAATATAATGGTCATGCAAAGATTTCCTCGGGGCTGGAATTTGACACATTTGAGGATTTGAACCCCCCAAAACAATTATCATCATGCAACATGGCCATGCAAACAATTCCATGCGCAGCCGTTACAATATATTGCATATCTTCGAGCGGCATGTTATGCTCGTGCCAGTCAGTCCTCGCGCCGCATGCCTTCAAACATTTACGTAGACTTTTACTATTAGAGTTATTCCTCCAAAGCCGGCGCTCACCGCAAAGAGCGATGTCAGACAGCGGCGATGGACAACCCAGAGGTGCGAATTTACTTTTCAGCTTGGACGCCAAGGGGCCTCCACAGGCAACGGATTATGCATAGCGAAGATGTAGGATTAGCTCATCAAGATAGCAACGATGACTGCGTTATTATGCAGAAGTGATGGACCTTACGCGAGATGGTGCCGACCGACCCCCACTGGGACGCCGCCGACTGAATAACGGAGCCGCTGTGAGCACGAATAGGTGCTTATGCACATTGGAAGGTCTTAGTACAGTTCACAGGCTTGCGCGGGAGGGCTCCATGCAGCGGGTTACACAGGCCAAGAGTGGACATGACCGCCAACCAAGGTAACCGCACGAGCATGCCATGCCCGGCCAGTGGTCCCTCGCGTCCATGCAACAACGGCACTGGATCTTCACGACGATACGCCATGGACCTGACGGGTGGGTTGCATCCGCAACATCCAGCAGAGGGTCTTGTGTGGCGCGCTCGACCGCATTTACCGTGGGCGCATTCCGTTCGCCACGTGGCTGGATGTTGCACCCATGCGAGATGCGCTACCGCGGCGCGTGCGTCCATCCCACTGGCGCAACGGGACGGTCCGCAGTGAGCTGGTCACGCATGAGACCCAGCAAGTAGCATGGCCATTGGCCCAGTGCCAATTGGCCCCTGGCTGCCATGAAGCACCGTGTCTGTCTGTTGCAACTTGGTAAAAGACGGCACCGCCTGCGGTCCCGGCTGCTGGTTCTGTGTGAGCATCGCCTGTTGCTGCTGTATGAGTTGGTGGAGGTGCAGGAGTGCGGGGCCTGTTTGCAGCTGGGGCCGCAGCTGGGACGGCGGCAGCAGTGGCTGGGGCAACGCCACCCTGCCCTGCACCTCCGTAGCCCAACGCCGCTCTCCCCTGTGCCGCCGTAGTCCAACGCGGCCCTCCCCTGCGCCCCCCTCGCCCAACGCCGCCCTCCCCTGCGGCCCCCTAGCCCAGCTTCGCCCTCCCCTGGGGAGGGTGGTGCTGCGCTGGGCGGCGCAGGGGAGGGCGGCGTTGCGCTGGGTGGTGCAGGGGAGGGCGGCGTTGCGCTGGGCGGTGCAGGGGAGGGCGGCGCTGTGCTGGGCGGCGCAGGGGAGGGCGGCGTTGCGCTGGGCGGTGCAGGGGAGGCCGGCGCTGCGCTGGGCGGCGCAGGGGAGGGCGGTGTTGGTTGGGCAGTCCAGGGGAGGGCGGCGCTGTGCTGGGCGGCGCAGGGAGGGGCGGTGTTGCACTGGGCGGCGCAGGGGAGGGCGGCGTTGCGCTGGGTGGCGCAGGGGAGGGGCGGTGTTGCGCTGGGCAGTGCAGGGGAGGGCGGCGCTGTGCTGGGCGGCGCAGGGGAGGGTGGCGTTGCGCTGGGCGGCGCAGGGGAGGGCGGTGTTGCGCTGGGCGGTGCAGGAGAGGGTGGCGTTGCGCTGGGCGGCGCAGGAGAGGGCGGTGTTGTGCTGGGCGGTGCAGGGGAGGGCGGCGCTGCGCTGGGCAGTGCAGGGGAGGGCGGTGCAGGGGAGGGCGGTGCTGCGCTGGGCGGCGCAGGGGAGGGCGGCGTTGCGCTGGGCGGCACAGGGGAGGGCGGCGCTGCGCTGGGCGGTGCAGGGGAGGGCGGCGTTGCGCTGGGCGGCGCAGGGGAGGGCGGCGCTGCGCTGGGCGGCGCAGGGGAGGGCGGTGTTGCGCTGGGCAGTGCAGGGGAGGGCGGCGCTGTGCTGGGCGGCGCAGGGGAGGGCGGTGTTGCGCTGGGCGGCACAGGGGAGGGCGGCGTTGCGCTGGGCGGTGCAGGAGAGGGTGGCGTTGCGCTGGGCGGCGCAGGAGAGGGTGGCGCTGCGCTGGGCGGTGCAGGGGAGGGCTGTGCTGTGCTGGGCAGGGCGGTCCAGGGCAGTGCAGGCGCGGGGTGGGGCGGGAATCGGAACAAGGCAGAGGTGCCACCCACCTTCTTGTGGGTCTGGGTTCAATTCCCAGGTGTCCCCAAATGTTATGACCCATGTTACATACACAACATACACACATATGTCCGTGAAGACATGAGCACACAGGCAGAGGGCACACACACAAACAAACACAAAGGATGGAGGGAAGGGCAAGGGAGAGCAGGGGACAGCAGAGGACAAGGCACTGAAGGGCAGAAGGGAGGGCAGATGGGAGGGGAAGGGAGGATGACTTTGGGAGGGCGGAATAAGAGTGAGAAAAGGTATTGTGGAGGGTCGGGGGTGGAGGGAGGGAGAGATGGTGCGCCACGCATTTCTCCCTTCTTTCACACCCCGGAGGACAAAACAGCCACACGGCTCTATGGGGCCGGAGGCTTCAGTGTTATTAGCATTTGCATCATTCGCGCCCACACGAATCCCCCAGGGTCCCTGTCGTATTTAGCCGGTGGCTTCCCCGTTCGTTTGACTGGACATTCATAGGAGAGTCATCACACACAACCTGCAGAGGCACACAAACGCGCGGCACGCTAAAGCCCGCCATGAAGCCTGTAATTTATTTAACTTCTGGAGAGACACCCCCAGAGTCCCGGATGGGCAGTGGCAGGTGTTATGTCGTGTGCGGGGTTTTTAATTGTTAGGATGTTGTGCACAACACATGGGTGAGGCGCTCTTGCTGTGTTGTTTCGCCTCACCCCACAGCCTTCACCACACAGCCTCTGGGGGTCAGTTGTTTTTTCAAACACGCCACGTGACGCCACCACACGCCGCCCTGATTCATTTGGAGGATACAATATCCGAATGTGTCAGAATGTCTCGACGACGCCGGGGTTAAGGGGGATGCATTTGCAATACGTCCAAAACATGATACACGTCGGATGCATGCAATGTGATATAGGATGTGGGGTACGTTTAGACTCTTTTTATAGGACAGAGGGCGCAGAGTCGTCCAGCTGTGGAGGGCTGGAGAGAGGTGCCGTGGGGGACTCTTTTTAACATCTTTTACACAAAAGCTATTGTGGAGGAACGCGCATTTTTGTGGGTAGGAATGCATGTGTTTTGTCTTCTCCCACTTGTGGTGGTGTAAGTTGTTTTGAGCCGCACCACCCTGTGGCGCGCAAGTGAGATTTTGTGCACACGCAGCTGCAGCTGCGTGTGTGCATGTGCATGCGTTCGAACTGTATATTCGTTGCCGACCCGTGGGTTTCTCTCTGCCCCGACGCTCCCTGTGGCGCCCTGCTTCCCGTATGCTAGTTTTAGCACGTGTGGAACAACTTGCAGAACGATAGGCGGGGCACTCGTACGATCACCAACCGGGTAAAGCGACCATTCAACGGGTAAAACGGGTAAAGCGACCATTTGACGCCTAGCTGCCTCTCAATCCCGGGGATGCTGTCCGCGACCCTTGCGAGTGAGATGGTTATCCCATATGAAGAAAACGTACAGTTCGTATTCGTTTTCTTGCCTAATTGTTGCACGTGCCGGTTCAGTTCATCTAGGGTACCTGATTGAGCCTTTCGGCGTTTGTTGGCCCGTCCATCGCCGCTGTCTGACATCGCTCTTTGCGGTGAGCGCCGGCTTTGGAGGAATAACTCTAATACTAAAAGTCTACGTAAATGTTTGAAGGCATGCGGCGCGAGGACTGACTGGCACGAGCATAACATGCCGCTCGAAGATATGTAATATATTGTAACGGCTGCGCATGGAATTGTATGATGATAATTGTTTTGGGGGGTTCAAATCCTATATTGCATGATGATAACTGTTTTGGGGGGTTCAAATCCTCAAATGCGTCAAATTCCAGGCCCGAGGAAATCTTTGCATGACCATTATATTGCTTATTGTTTTGGGGGGTCAAATCCTCAAATCCCGTTGGGATTTGACCCGGATTTGCTTGGGAATTCATGGGGTCAAATTCCGGAATTCCGGCCCCGTGAGGCCTGTGTTGCATAACAAATTGCGGGTACTGCTAAAGTTGCAAGTCGCAAGTCGCAAGTCGCAAGTCGCAAGTCGCAAGGAACACGCAAAATTTCTATATGAAATTCTATATACGCGAATACGTACGTGAACCACGCCTGTAGGGTGTAAACAGATAGCATTTGCGGCGTCCGCGTCTGCGGGCTATGGCCGATCGCAGGCGTAACTATGCTGAAGTGGCTTGCGGCCTATGTGGCTTCGTCTGTCTGAGCAGTTCAATGTAGCTGTCTGAGCAATGCAATGTAGCTGTTCATACGCACAAGCTCACTCAGGCCTCATCTAGTTCTTATCAGTATTTGCTTAATGTATCTCATCAAGTTCTTAGCAGTATTTGCTTATGGGCCTTCTGGTGGGGTTCCGAGGACTTTCGCCAATCGGGGAGTCTAATTGCAAATTCCCCTGTGGTTGCGGGTTCTGAGCCTGCCCTTGGATTTGCTTTTGGATGTCTAGGTGACTTGTGTTGTCTGGTCTGGGTGGGAGTCTTGTTTGCCCTCATCGTATCAGGTGCAGTGCACGGCCTGCTGGCCCGCTGGCTGTACTCTTTGTGTGTTGGAGCCCACTGTAACCACACTGCCTCGAGGCATCCCTAGCCCCGGCGGTGGACTGATAGGAACTAGCCTAGTCCGCACAAATTCCACACAAGTGTGGGGGTGTCCGTAAGAGCTGGGGGGCCCATGGGCGGTAAATTGGGCGGTTACATGGTCAGGGATGCGACTGTATGTAAGGTTTTGCAGTTCGTTAGCGCGCGCTTCTGAGACCATGTCGAAACTTCGGAGCTAGTGGAGCTTGATCCTGTGGTTCTCCGTGTGAGACAATGGCGCGCTATTATGACTATTTAAGCGGACCATTTTATGAACATTGTAAGTCTAAGTTGATATTGAAAAGCCCGATCTTCTGTGCTTACACAAGTATATCGGCCAGTAAAGTCAGCTTGCACTTCCCAGTTGTTAGGAGCGGCCTGGTTCCCTTTCAATTGGTATCAGAGCCTAGGTGATCCTCCTCGCCGAGCTCTTCATCGTCGTCGCCATCGTCTTCGTCGTCATCGCGCCATCGCGCCATCGCGCCATCGTCTTCGCCTTCATCACTTCGTCTTCGTCTTCGCCCTCATCACTTCGTCTTCGCCCTCATCACTGGTCACTTCGCCCTGGTCACTTCGTCTTCGCCCTGGTCACTTCGTCTTCGCCCTGGTCACTTCGTCTTCACCCTGATCACTTCATCCTCGCCCTCGTCACTTCGTCTTCGTTCTCTTCACCTCTTCAACAACCATGTCTCTCTCGAACGAGTTCCCGTTTCCACCTTCCTTTCCTGCCGCCACCGACCCCGCGCCCGCGCCCGTGGCGCCCCCCACCACGTCCGAAGCCGCTCTCCCCTGGGATAGAATCTCAGAAGTCGCCACACATGCTGCTGTACGAGCCTTAGAGAATCGTTCGTCAAACAACCAGCGCGGACCAGCCCCCCGATTCAACCCCACGGCCAAGGACGCCGACCTCGCTTCGTGGGCCAACCGCCTACGTCTCCACTTTACAGTATGCGGTTTGCATGAAGACAGTGCGCCTGCTGTCGCCATCGCCCTTTCCGCCATCGAAGGACCTACCCTCGACACCCTCCTCCTCCTCCACCAACGTACCCCCTTCACTTCCTTAACTGCGGTCCTTCAAGCGCTAACGCCCCTCGCGCCCAGACCCGATCGCCTCCTCCAGGCACAGATCAGCATGGACACCATTCGTCAAGGCTCAGGCCCGAACTCCCTGGTGTCGTACGTGGCCGCTTTCGGACGCCTCATGGGCGACCTCCCTCACCGTCACGAACTCGATCACGTCTTCCACTTCGCAAAAGGTCTCAACAGGGACCTCCGCGAGGAAGTCTACGCAAGGCTTCCTCAGTACGGCACCGATGTAACCCTGCAAATCATCATCGACCTGGCGATGGGCATCTTTTCCGGGCGCCACAATGCTCATCTCATCGACTACAACACCGCGCCACGCAGCTCCCGAGACGTCCGCCGGGACGACCCTATGGACCTAACCGCCAACGTTTACTCCACCACGCCGCACCACAGCAACTCACCTCTTCCGAGCGGCGTCAAAACCATCGGAGTCCCCTACAACTTGCGCCTCCAGCGCATGGCCCAGCACGTCTGCCTACAGTGTGGTGACGAGTCGCACGCCAAGGAACACTGCCCGGAACTTCGTCGCCTCCTGGCAGCAACCACCATCTCCCAACCCAACTCCTCCCGCCAGCACTCCTTTCAGGGTGCTAACAATAGCCGCAAGCCGCCCCGCTCGCCTGCCCGCTCGCCTGCCCGCTCGCCTGCCCGCTCGCCCTCCCGCTCCTCCGCGTCCTCCGCCTCCGAGGATCGACGTTCACGCAGCCACCGCCAATACGACAACCACAGCCATCGCGGTCGTTCTCCCTCCCGCCTCAGTAACAGCTCCCACGGCCGCCGCTCCCAGCACATCAGCGACAAATCCCCTACCCGCTCCCGCTCCCCAGGCCCCCGTTAAATCGGCTCTTAGGCCGTCGTCGGCAGAAACGGTCAGCCACAGCCTGCCGACGTCGTCTGCTGTGCACTCGTCCGAAACCGCGTGCAACGTTCAACGTCTAGCTCAAATCGTCCGCAAGCCTGCCCGCCCTGTTGGTCGCAAGCGTGCTCGCGCAGCTGCAGCCTCGACATCGAAGGGAGCATGCCAGGCAAGCAACGATTGGAAAATCGCGCGATCGCTTTTTCTTGAATACGATTCACAGTACGGCCCGTTTACCGTCGATGCCTACTGTGATGACCTCGGCCTAACTGCACAGCTCTCGCCCTTTTTCTCACCGTCCCGACCTTTCCTATCGACCGACATCGAAGGAGAGTGCGTATGGATGGTGCCACCTGTCGACAACGCCTCCACCATCGTCGCCCGCTACCTCGATGCCAAGACCGCCAGCCCCAACACCTCTGCCATCATTGTCCTACCCGATCGTCCACAAGCCCCTTGGGCCCCCCTCATCCGCCACATGACCATCGTCCGCCGCTTCCCTGCCGGCGCCCAGATCGTCTGCCGCCCCACCACTTCAGACCCGTCCAGGTATGGAGAACCGGGTCCCAGCCCTTGGCCTGTAGTAGTCCTCCACGATCCACCATCGTCAGCCCCCTTTACTCT